TTGCATGACGACGCAAAGCACATAGGACACCTGAATACCTCTATCACCAATCGATTTAAAGCGTGCCCAACTGCCTGTGTGTTGTCATCCAATAAGGCGAGGCCATCGGCATATTTTAAGTCAAAAACTCTGTTCCCTGGAAGGAGTTCCATTCCACCGTTTGTTAAACCGGACAAAGCATTCCGTAGAACATCCTGTGTTAAAAAGTTGAAAAGGAATGGGGATATGCTGCAGCTTTGCCGAACTCCACTGGAAACGGCGAAGAGTGGCGAAAGCTGACCATAGGCCTTAACCCAACCTGAGGTATGACGATACAATTCTTTGAGGACCGATACTTACTTCTCATGTACTCCATTCCTCAACAAACAGTTCCATAGTGCGGTCTTATCGACAGAGTCGAAGGCCGCGTGGATGTCTAAGAACACAATGATCAGTGGTCTTTCATAAACATGACGATGCTCCAGTGGCTGTCAGGGGATGAATATTTGATCGATGCATCCTCGACCGACGCAAAACCCATCCTGCTCCCCACGGATCTACTCCCACGTATGATGTAGAATCGGCGAACGACGGACGATAACAGCTTTGACGCTATTGGGATCATGCTTATGCCCCTAGGATTGGCGCAGTCATTGCGTGGAATCTTAAAAGATAAGGAAGCCAATCGATTCACCCCACGAGGGACCTGCTTAGTTTGCCATACTTCAGAGGACAGAGTAACAAGTTCTCTAACAAGCTTTATTCCACTTTCTTTAATTGAAGCTTGGGGAATATGATCCGAGTCCAGCGTTTCGTGATGCCCCAAGGCTTGGATCTCCTTACGGATTTCCGCCTCGGAAATTGAGTCTGTTGATACAGACTGTCGAATCTGTTTTACCGGTTCCTCCCAATGTTTCCATCCCGCATTGCCCTCGGTCGCTTATTCACCGCCTTTGTTGATTAACACGAAAATATGCAGCCATAACGTTTCCGAGTCACACGCCCATCACAAATGTAGAATGGTCCAAAATAATCTACTCCGGTGACGGCGAAAGGAAAGCCTGGTCCAGTACGTTCTTCAGACAGGGTCGACATGTTTTGCTCTATGGGCTTAGCTGATCTTTCCTTGCAACCAATGCATTGCGAAATTGTGCGTTTTACTGCCGAGGCACCCCTTATGATCCAAAATTTCTCACGTGTGCACATCCGATCTGCACGTCTAATTCACTCAGTCATGCCGGTAGTTGGTATCGACCTTGGAACAACCTACTCCTGTGTTGGGGTTTTCCAACATGGAAAAGTAGAGATCATTGAGAACGATCAAGGAAACCGCACCACGCCAAGTTTTGTGGCATTCACCGACACCGAACGACTGATTGGTGATGCAGCAAAGAACCAAGTGGCCATGAACCCGACCAACACTGTGTTCGACGCGAAACGTCTGATCGGTCAACGATTTGATGATCCTTCTGTGACCGAGGACCGTAAACATTGGCCGTTCGAAATTGTTTCAGGTGGTATTCCGAAGATTCAAGTCGAGTTCCGTGGCGAACAGAAAACTTTCTCTGCTGAAGAGATTTCTTCGATGATTTTGATTAAGATGAAGGAGATCGCGTCCGCATACCTTGGCAAAGTTGTGAAAGAGGCAGTGGTCACTGTTCCGGCCTATTTCAACGACAGTCAACGTCAAGCGACAAAAGATGCCGGTGCGATTGCCGGACTGAATGTGTTGCGCATAATCAACGAGCCGACTGCGGCTGCTATCGCTTACGGTTTGGATAAGAAAGTGGGGAGTGAACGCCACGTGTTGATCTTCGATTTGGGCGGTGGAACGTTCGATGTGTCGATTCTGACAATTGAGGACGGCATTTTTGAGGTGAAGTCGACCGCTGGTGACACGCATGTGGGCGGTGAGGATTTCGACAACCGTATAGCCAGTCCGTCAGAAGGATTCTTAGTGCCGTTTCACGGGAGCAGACTTTGACCGAAGAGTCCTTGATCACCTATCTAACAGAAGTTGAACGCATCCTGAACAACCGTCCTCTAGTCCCTGTATACGATGACCCCGACACCCCTAGAGCGCTTTCGCCTAGCTGCTTGCTGTTACTGAGGAAACCAAACGATATCATCAAAACCGAAGTCAACCTACGCGATCGGTATACTCGTCAGTGGAGGCAAAGCCAGCTCTTCATAGATACGCTTTGGAGACGCTGGACATCGGAATACCTGCTCTTGTTGAAAACTCGGAACAAATGGAGACAAGCGCGTAGAAACCTACGAACAGGAGATTCAGTCCTTATACTGGATGGAAATTAACCTCGCGGGACATGGTCTAAAGGTGTCGTAACGGATGTCAAACTTGGCTCAGATGGGCGGGCACGACAGGCAACCGTGAGATCCCCGAAAGGACATATTCTGCGAGAAATTCGTAAGTTGTGTCTACTAGAAGGGACCGACGACCAGTACGGCAACCACTCGTGAGTAGGGCGCCATTAAATTCGGTTTCTGCGATTGTAACAAGAGTAAATAGTGCCATTTTCGTATGGGGCCGTTCTGAGGGTGCGTGTAGCGAGTGAAGTCATAGTGAAAACCGTGCCGGCTTTGAGGGGGCGGTGTTGAATCTGTTTTACCGGTTCCTCCCAATGTTTCCATCCTGCATTGCCCTCGGTCGCTTATTCACCGCCTTTGTCGATTA